AATAGCAATTAGAATGCTCCAGCAGCAAGCTGGGGTGGTTTTATTATCATTTTGGAGTACTCCTGAAGCTCTCTTCTCGTATCATGTCTATCTAAATTATTCAATTGTGTTTGTATTACATATTTGATTACTCGATTTTGTTGTCTTTGACATATAAATACCTCTATTTTTCAACTGCCATCACACCTATGCTTTTCTTGAACAATAGGTGAAAAACATCAAGGAATAAAAAATGAACGAAGAACGTGTGTGGATGTATAATCGATTTAAAAATGGAGCTTTAACTAGAGAGTTCTTAGAAGGACTAGAGTCCTTTATTGATTTTGCTTGCACTCAAGTAGAATGGATGGATGAGGACAAAATTCGTTGTCCTTGCACTAAGTGTAAAAATCGCAAGTATCTTAAAACTGATGACGTTAAGTATCACCTTGCTCGATATGGCTTTGTACGAGATTACTATATTTGGGATAGACATGGAGAGTCATACATTCATGCAAATGATAGCCCACCCCCCGTTCATTGCGATGGAAATGTGGAAACGACAATGAATTACCACACAATGGTTATGGATGTCGCTGGTCCTGAATTTCATCCAAATTCTCAAGAAGAACCTCCAAATCCTGATTCAAAGAGATTTTACGACATGCTAAATGCTGTTGACAAAGAGTTATGGCCCGGTTGCACAACACACTCGCAATTATCATTTGTTGCCCGAGTGATGCACATGAAAGCCGAGCATCACATGTCTGAACGAAACTATGATGACATGATGCAACTTGTGAGTGAAGTTCTCCATTATGATAATACAGTACCCGAGAATTTCTATAAAACCAAGAAGTTGTTGCGGGGAATGGGTTTACCGGTTGAAAAAATTGATTGTTGCAATAATGGTTGTATGTTGTATTGGGAGGATGATGCGGATGCTACGAGCTGTAAATTTTGTGGTCACGGTCGATTCAAGAGGTCGGGTGGAGGGAAAAACGTGGCATACAAAAAGATGTATTATTTCCCGCTAGCAGACAGACTAAAAAGGTTGTATGCCTCCAATGCTACAGCCAAAGAAATGAGGTGGCATGCAGAACATACAGTTGAAGATGGTGTTATGACACATTGCTCTGACTCTTTAGCTTGGAAGCATTTCAACAACACGCATACAGAATTTGCGAAAGAGATTCGTAATGTGAGGTTAAGTCTTAGCACAGATGGTTTCCAACCGTTTGCACAATATGGAGCACAATATTCTTGTTGGCCAGTGATAGTCACGCCTTTGAACTTCCCACCATGGTTGTGCATGAAAGACCAACACATGTTTTTAACTGTGTTAGTTCCGGGGCCAAAAAACCCAAAAGATAAGTTGGACGTCTACTTACAGCCCCTCATCAAAGAGTTGAATCAACTGTGGGATGTAGGAGTTCAAACTTATGATATCTCGAAGAAGCAAAACTTTCAGATGAGAGCTGCTTTAATGTGGACTATTAGTGATTTTCCAGCATATTCGATGTTGTCTGGATGGAGTACTGCTGGACGCTTAGCTTGTCCATATTGCATGGAGGACTCCGATGCATTCACTCTTTCCAAAAGTGGTAAGCAATCTTGGTTTGACAACCATCGCAAGTTCTTACCTTTAGACCACTCTTACCGAAGGAACAAAACTTCATTCCTAAAAAATAAAGTGGTTACAAAAGATGCACCTCCTGTTCGAACGGGAGAACAAATATTGAAAGAGTTACAAGATCGAGGCTTAATGAAAGTCACAGATATTGGCTCTGATGAGAACAATAGAGCAAAATGCAAAAATTGCGGTTGGAGGAAAAAAAAGTATCTTTTGGGACTTGCCTTATTGGAGTACAAATCTTATTCGACATAATTTAGATGTAATGCACATTGAGAAAAATGTGTTTGATAACATCTTTAATACAATTATGGATGTACAAGGCAAGACAAAAGATACAATGAAATCTCGCGAAGAGTTGAATGACTATTGTCGACGTCCTGAGTTGGCGAGAAACGAGGAAACACGTAAATATCCTAAAGCATGCTACACGTTGGATGCGAAGGGCAAAGAAGAATTGTGCAAATGGGCGAAAGAGGTTAAGTTTCCTGATGGATATGCCTCTAACTTGTCTAGATGTGTAGACATGAAGAAACATAGATTTTTTGGTATGAAGAGCCATGATTGCCATGTGTTTATGCAACGACTGATACC